GTATATAAAATTCATAAAGCTCAAGGAGCATCATCGCACTGACTTCTATTTGTCAGAATGGATTCGGGACGTGGGAATTCGCCTAGGTGAAAGAGGAGTCAGGCGAACGAGCGTATTCAAGTTTTTGCGATTTTTAGGATTTGTGTCGCCCTGGGTTCTCGATCTAGGCCAGCTCTAGTGATTCGTGTATATAGGCTCTGATATAAAATCCCAGCCTCTCAAGCTTCCTTTTCAAAGTCCCTTATCATACTGCTGTCACGGGCCTTTTACTTTTTCGTTTTCTCTTGTGACTCCAAGTAGAGAGAAGAGGCTCGATAGGAAACGTAAGTAAGAGAGAGAGAGAGAGAGAGAGAAAATAAAATGAAATAATTCAAGCGACGAAAAAAATGTCAAGACTAAGCTTTAAAGGGATGACGTGTTATTTTGGCATTTTTCGTGTCCCGAACACACCCTCAAATGATATCATGCAGCATTTCTATAACAGGCGACATGAAAGCTCGGGCAATTTCAAGAAATAAAATCGGGATACTACTTTAGGATTGGACCGGTGCTTTGTCTCGAATCAAGATTCGATTTCTTTTATGTACTATACACCAGTGGTCTAACAAAGTCAGGTATACCATACATAAAGTGAAAAGGTTTGAAAATTAAATATTTGCAAGAAAAAAGTATCTGCAGGTTATTCGAAAAATTGCACTGGCACTACTCATTTTTTGATTGACGTCAATATACACCGTTATCACGTGGTTTTTAATCAAGTTGATAAAATCAAGCTGACCGATTAATATAAATATGCTCGACTGAATTCATTAGGGTGTTAGCTGTCAGGGTGGACAGTAAACAATTTTCTGGATGAAAAACGCATACAGCGCACGAATATATAAAATCATTTATGGATAAAGTATATATGAAATTCTCTCAAGTGTATTAACGATAAATTCATATGATCGTCAGTGGATAGCGTGGAGACGTAGTGTGTATATATATATATATATACATATAATCGAGATTTCATTAAAAATACTCGAGCGAAATGACATTCCGATAGAATCTCGAATTCCATTTGGAATCCAGCATTATACCGGCTTTAGCCTCTCCCACCCAATAACGGACGCAACTTTATTCCCACATCGTCTGACAATTCCGCATAGACGCTACGCGCCCACGCAACTTTTTCCCGTGAGGAATCTCTTTCCAAGATAATACCATTCGTCAATTTCACTTTCAATTACCCACTGCGTTTCAGATACGTCACAATATCTCAAGTAGGGAAAGTCCTCGAATAGCGTATTTCAAGGGAGAAATATAAAATTTTAAGCCTACCGGAAAGTCGTGCTACACAGGGGAAATAATAACATTGAAAAATACGTCCTCTTGAACCCCAATACTTATTCAGTCTCTATTAATCTTTCATTCGCACTCTGTACCACTGCAGTACCATGTAGCCTGAAAATATTCCTATTTCGAAAGCGTAAATATTTATGTGAGAAATGCGAAAGCCCAGGGGAATTTGATATGACGTCGATTCGAATGGCGGCGAATGAGGTGGGTTCAAAATAATTTTAAAAAAAAAAAAAAAAAAAACATACAACCGAAGAAATAAAAAAATTCGTTCAGTCCTTCCGGGCCCTTTATGGAAAATTCATATTTTTACGGATAACACGGATAAAGCAAATCGATTTTATCCCCTGAAGTCAATGGCGTCGCCATCGCACGACAGTTCGAATATTAAATCGTCTACGCGACTCTCCTCAGACTGGAAGCGCTTGAATAAATAACGCGGTAAATCTGAAAGTGTAGACTCGTCGAAAATGTAGTTTCGAGTAGGAAATAACTTTCCGGAAGGAGAAGTAAGGAATGAAAAATAAATAAAATAAAAGGGTTCGAAGAAAGTTCGCGAAAGAGATTGGCAGGATCTCTCGAAGTATGCCAAAGAGAAATTTTTCCCCTTTACGTAATAGCTTCGCGACCCGATACCTACGTACTATAAATTACCTCGTGAAATACGAGTCAGAATTTTTTTGACTTCTTTCCCCTTTTTTTTTTTTAACAAGTAAAACGTCTCGTCTACTCTCCTCGTCAGAGCAGGTCCCGAGAAACATCGAACAAAAGCCAAGTCTGAAGGATTTCTATTTATAAAAAAAATTACGTACATACACATATCACGAAAGAATTGAGTGACGAATAAAAATTTTCACGACCAACCACCGTCTACGTACTTTCAAGGTCAATTTACCATAATTGCCTTAAAGTCCCGTAGTACCCGACGTACTTAACCTCAAGTAAAACTAGAGATTCCTGACATTGATGAAGATCTTGAAGAATATTAAGAGACTCTGTATCCACTTAGACCCAATTACTCGCGTCTGACTCTGAATACCTTTTACCACTGAAAGTGTTGAAACGCAGCACGAAGGATTTGAAAGTCAGCTCGGAATATCCAGACCCGTAACATCCGAGACACCGATCGATCGGGATCGATGATTTATGCAAGAGTATAAGAGGGAGATAAGATTAGGTCACTTGCCATAAGGTGAGAATACATGAAGATCCTGTTCTCGATTCAAGAGAGGCGTCACTAAATGAGAGGGTCAGGTCCTCTGAGGTTTTCCTGGACATTCTCAAGGGCTTCCGGGTCACGGGAGGAACGCCAGACTCGTGTCATACGTGAACCCTAGGGTTTGTCCCACACTTGCAATCAGGCGGAGACCTCAGTTATTAAGCGGAAGTCGACCGTGGGTAGCCACTTGGCACACGAGTTGTATACACCTAGGTAGACAAGAAGTGCCTACGGTGCTAAGACCGGGTGGGCTCAGTAGTGGCTCGAAGTAGATTTGAACTTCAAGGGATGAACCTGAACAAGGATTTTTTTGTCAATGTCAAAAAGTGTAACTATACGGTTGCCCAAGGAGGTGTCATGGATCAGCTGACTGCTAGAGGAGCCGTAGGATTGTTTTATCCCGGAAGTTAAGTGACCTGATAATTCGCTACTCAGAGCCGTCGGGAACGTGACCGTAGATGGTGTACCATCTAGAAACCAACCAAGAAACTCGGAATTCGACCTGCACGTATATAAACCTTACTGAGTGTTGCGCTATTGGTATCACGTTCTGTCGATAGGGGGTGGCAATCAAATGGTCTCCATCCTCCACACGGTAATCGGAATCGTGACGCTGACTTACTTGACTTCCGGTCCCTTCGAATCCTCTTCGCGGCCGAACGAACGAAATTAGAAGGTTGAAGGGGCGCGAGGCCAGTTTATACGACGATAAATGGCCGCCTCTAAGTAAAATAGTAGGCGGGCGAAGCAATTCGAACGTGAGATAGCTACCCAACTCCGGCAGCCATTATGAAAGTCGTAATAACGCACAGAGTCCTGTGCGACTGTCTCTCTCTCCCTCTCTCTCGCTCTATCGTTCTTAATGACTTTCTCCTTACTTTCACTCTCTGACTTTACTCCACCGAGCGTAGCAGTCCTTGGTATTTTCATGAAAAAGCAATTTGCCTTGAAACAAGGAAAGCGCCACGGCCGCTTGCGAAACGCGAATACAATGGTTGCTCGTACAAAATTTCTCATTGCAGATTCGTCTCTGCTACCCTCCCTTTGTATCCCTTTGTATCCGCTCAGTCTTTCTCGGTCCAAGATACGTTTCCATCCGCGGGAGCTTACGGGACGAAATGACGTCTCTTCTTTTTCGCATTACTGAGCCAAATATTTTTCTTTGTCATTACATTTTATTCGTCGTTTGCTCGATGACAATGAGGAAACGAGTTTTTTGAAATCCCAAGTCTATTAAACGAATAACGGGAAAATAATATAAATATTTTTTTATGTGAAAGAATACAAAAAAAAAAAGTCAAAAATTTTATACCGGGTTCGGTTAAACTTTAAGGCGCAAAAGTAACACGACGCCATCGATTGTACTGGAAATAACAGTCGACAAAAATACATTTTACCCTTTTCATTATTAAGTAGATTTCATGCTGCAAGTTGGCGCGTAGAGGCGCTGGACTTTTCAGACTCTGTGCCTCGAGGCCTCGATAAATGAATAATAAATAAATATTCGCGAAAACCTTGCCAAGCGCAAGGTAAATAATCATGACGTCACGGTTCTCATCGAATTCCCTCCATCAATTTAACGTTGCGAAATACCTTCTTCGAGGTCTTTCCGGTTAATTTGAAGAAAAAATAGCTATAGCATTCTCTCCCAAATGTTAAACAGATAAGAGAATCCATTTTTCTCGCAGGCAAAGTAGATACTACGTATACTTATGCTTTGCTGGGACGTAGATAAAAGATATTGCGTAAACGGAAATACATTCGATATCCTTTATTATCCCATATGGGTAATACGATAATTATATGCCCCAGATAGACTTGGAAGATCGAGATTTTCTCCTGATGAAATTCCACGGTACAACCTCGACCTCGGTAACTCTCTTATGAAAATAAAAGAAAAAATTATCGAATTAACCACCCTCTGAATTCCCATTGGCGTGGGCCAACTCTAACGCAGCTTTAACATTTCCTTGATATTAATGGGAACGAATGTGACTTTATTCCCGACAGACCCTATTTATGTAAGAGTCCCATATGCAAAGGGTCGGCGGTAAATAGGGTAAAAGGTCGTCGGCTGTCTAAAAATATGAAATATTATTAAACTTGAGACAGCGACAAATCCGTACGTAAAATTGAAAATAAATCGTACAGTAACGTAATTTCGAAAAGATAGTAATTTTTTTTTAAATTCCATCATTACGAACAATCGATAACAAAGATCCTATTAATCAGTCGTATCGATTCCAACCGCGCAAGGGAACAGTCCAATAAAAAAATTCATTCAACCAAAAGAGGACTTAATTTATGAATCGCTTTTAAAAAAAAAAAATTTCGTATTCATCTTCCCGCTGTACAGGGTGTACGTTAAACACGATTAAAAGGGGATGACCATTATGTATGTTTAACAGGGCTAAAAACTAGCTCGAATTTTCCTCAAAAGATCTGTCGATTGTTCCAGGAGCAAAGTGGCGGCCGCTCTGTTGAACAAGCACCTGCAGATCAACGGGATTTCAGCGGGCTTAACGTCGCTACCAACGGTAGGACAATCGTCCCCAGAACCGGTACCGGATGAGCCGCCAATAACGAGTAGCAGTAAGATGAAGAGGGAGCGCAAGGCAGCGAGGACACTTGGAATCATCATGTCTGCCTTTCTGGCATGTTGGCTCCCCTTTTTCCTATGGTAATGAAAACCGCATGTATCTATTCATAGCATTATCATTATCTACCAATCCATTTCCTACGTTTGCGTCCATCCGAATCTCAATTTTCAAAATTCCGTCCCATTTCGTCCACCCAGGCTATTCCATCCGGCAGCTCGATTGCCATTCGTTAAAATTCGTCGGTAAACTTCCCCCACCAACTTTCGAGCCTATCCAAAGACCGAAGTAATCCGGAAATGGTAACTCCGTCCTTGGGGAATAAAATAGCTGCGACTCAGATGCAACCCTAGATACTCTGGATTCAAGTAAGCAGGACTCCCGAGGGATCTCGATGAGAGAGGAAGACAAGTTCGGAGTAAACGTTCGAGAGAGAAGAAAAAAATAAAAGCATCTTTGGTATAACAAACGCTCTCACTTCGCCTCGAGTAACAAAGATTGATGACAAACACAGATGGAAACCCAAAGCCATGAACCACTGAGATAAATCACTATTAATGAAAAACCCAAGGACACCAGGCTTCCCGTATGACCTATTAAAGAAAAAAGAAAAAGAAAAAAAAAAATACGTCTCATCAATCTTATTTATAATTTGCACTTTACGTAATTTTTCATTTTTTATCTCTGTCCCGATTCTCACAAAACGAGGATTCGTGGCGACCTGCATTTCGGTACGTTATATTCTAGGAAGCTCTTTTGAAAGTTTTAAGAAGGTAATAATGCTGCGCTTCCAGAGACACGCTTTGCCGAATGCAGGCGAGGTCGATAGTATCAAGTGGAAAGCAGTACATACGGTAGTTCGATCTAGCAGAAAATTTTCTAGCAGCGGAACACGGCTTTGACTCGATGGAAGCTGGGCTGCTGTGTGTCAAGGAGCATCTCGAAATATCTAGACCTAGATTATGTACATAACGGGCACGACGCACAACGGGTGACACTGGAGTACACGGGAAGGCGCTGGGAACACAGAAACTTAACACAGAGGCAAAGGGGAAGAGTAAATGTTCAGAGTTCGGAGTGTCGAAGGAGGTTAAAGTTCGATCGAACCTTCATTGACGAGGAAAGCTTCGATTGCGGATTACACGTGAAAAATTTCAAAAGTGCATACGTATAATGCACGTATGATATTTATTCTCTTGGAGATGCTACTCGTCGATGCATTAATTAATAATTGCACCAGCGTCGCCTGCAGTCGAGCTCGTAGACCTGAAGGAGAGTCTCTAAATGGTCGTATAGGGTCGCACGATGGGAGTGCAGCCTAATGCAATATTGGAAGACGATAAATTGATAGGTGAGATATATGTGTATATATGTACTCGGAGCTTCGAATTGGCTGTCGTTCGGTTGCCCTCTAGTATCTTCGAGGTATGGGCTGTCCTATCCGGCCAGCTTAGAAGCCGGAGCCTTAAGGTGTTAGGTCACGGGGTTAATCCTATCGATGCCCCGGAGTGATACGTAGCCAAGTCCATCACCTACGTCTTCCCATAACCTGACCAAAGTACGCATGATCGGTATCGATTGAACTGATAGCGTTAGATATTAAAAGGTTAATGCCTCCTTTGATAAAAATCTCTTTTTTTTTGGGCAAATTTTTTTTTTATCAAGGGGAAGCTTCTTCGTGGAGAATTTCGCGAAAACAACATTTTTATTTCTGTAATCTAGCCAAGTGTGAAATCTCGGAAAATTTCATTGGGATTCAGAGGACTTGGTACAGAAGCCTCTACGCTCCTTCGCTGGTTTGACTAGGATCCAAGGCATTATTCATCAGGCAATCTACCCTGCTATTCGGATTCTGTCGCGTTTAAGAGAATCCACTGGGTACTGACGTTAGAGTCTGACAGTTTAATTATCTGACACTATCATACCGTCAGTGACAGTTGAACGAATCGTCTTTTACCAGGAAACAAAGGCATCGAATATTCTTGTGTTACAAGATGGACTTCTTAACTCGAGTCCGATTACGAAGTTCGAGAACTGACCTACGTCACCTTTGGCCGTCCACTCTTCGTCCATGCATCCGCGTGCCAGGCGGGCGGCAGTCAAATTTTTCTTCACCGAGAACTGACGGGTCGGTATGACGTGGGAGTTCAGGTAAACCAGTCTCAATTCCGCAAAAACGAAAACTTTGGCGGAATCTACCAGACGAAGACGATAGCTTGACGTGATCCTGTCGATTTTTGGGCTCGCAAAATGATTTTTGCGCTGCACCAGCAAACGCAACTTTATAATGCACGGCTCAGGCTGCTACGTTGAACCTCGACTCAACAAGAACGAATCATTCGAGAGCATTGGCGTAACCGAGCAAACGGAGAGCGTGGCCTCTGAGCAGGGTGGCGACCCGAAGGGAACCAGAAAGCGAGAACGTTATTTCAATCGGTAGCTGGAGTCGCCTCGTGACCGTGAGTCGAAAAATCACAACACAGAAACATATAAAAAAATTATTCAAGACCGTTTCAAATGTCTACGCCTTTTCTCGATTCCCTTGGCACTTCGCCCTTGATAGAATATTCTACCTAGAGGTGAAATAAGTGAGAAAACGTAACCGGAGCGATCGATTATTTTCAAACAGCAGCGAACTGATTGAAAGTTTCAGGAAGAACCGAAAAAAAAAGAAATACCTTTCTCCTATATTTGCCAAACATCGTCGTGCTTGAGCTGCGAAATAATTTACCTTCGCAGGCTTGAAATTCGATAAAACTTCCCTCGACAGGGCACGGAGATATAAGGGTATCCCTGCCTGTCGATACTAGAATCTTACAAAGAGTTAAAAAGACGGACCACTTCTTCTCGACTAGTTTGCTTTATCCGCAACCCCCCACTCGTCAGGCACTTCCTGTTATTTTCTTCGATAACCCAGAGGCAAATACTCTTGCCAAACATCCCCCGTGCCGTAGTCGGGCTTGACTTTCTTTATACGGACCTCGGACCTCGACGCCTGTACATATACCTGAGTACACAACTACTGGAAGGGTGGCGACTGCTCTTCTAGTGAAACAACCAACGAGCCAGACCTTTCATCGCTTATCGAAAGGACTACGTAAACGAAGTTCCACAGTGCAGCAGGAACTTCACGAATCCGCCCCACAGCTACCCTTTTCCCAAGTACTCACTGACAAACTTTCTTTTTTAGTTCATCGAACTACTTCCCTCCTAGTGCACCAACGGGAAACCAGCTTGGTTTCAGGAAGTACCTAGGCAGACTTTAAACGGAGACTGCTTAACGGTTCCCCGTGCTTACTTCCTAACGACCGGATTCATTAACTTGTTTTTCCGTGGTTCCTTCTTCCTCTTCTTCGTTTTTCTTCCGTCCCCTCTCATCTTACCGAATCACCAAGTCAGCACGGGCAGCGTAATTAACCACGGGACATAAAAGTTCTCCGCGAGACTGACTGTCTGTTTCATTAAAAAAGTTTGAATTTCCCGCGAAAACCCCTTTCGGTCCTTTGCGATACGCGCGTCAAAGAAGGGACAGTTTTGCACGAGAAGTTCGAAATCAGAATGCCATCGAGATCATCGGCTGTCACGACTGAAAGCTTTCTTGGGTTCAGCCCTGATGATAGGGAGAAGGGACTTCCGGGTACGCGTCTTTCTTAGACTTTTTGATGGATTGCCAGTAATATATATATATATTTTCCAAAATATCCTCACGACACCTTATACCTCTCTAAGGGACCTAGTTATCCTCGGATAACACCTTAAACCTCGCAGAAGACTCATCCTTGAGGCAGTTTTCAAGTATCTCTAAACTACAGCGACGTACAATTAAATTCTGCATCGAACTTTCTTTCGAGAGCTTTGAATATATCAATATGAATACTATATCCAGTCGGTTAGCCACGCGCGAAATAAATATAGGTGGATGACGGTAAGGGTAACGTGAATTCGCATGAAAGTCATTCAATGGACTTATCGCGTAATACTTATATACAAGTATAAAGCCCAGGTGAAAAAAAAAAGGAAAAAAAAAAATCGATAATAACGGCAGACGAGTTCGGGAGTTTGAAAATTTGACGCAATTAAAGTGAATCATCTTGGTTTAAAATTTCAAAGTCCTTTCACGTCTAATTACAGCCGAATCCTCAAAGACCCAAGTCTAAGCTGTGATTTACGAAGGATTGAAATTTTCATAGAACTTCCAAGACCCTTCATATATTCGGTACGACGTAGCCCGAATGATCGAGACGTAAACAGTATCGTCAGACTTATTCACAGTGCGTAATAATGATGCTCGGTATGAAATAAATTTGAGAAAAAAATTAATTAAATTCAGGCAGCTCAATCATCAGACCAAACAATCTGCCTGAGACCACAATGTATAACGGATGTTTCATTTGATCTGTGACAGGTACATGATTACCTCCTTGTGCGACACGTGTCACAGCAAGAGCATCGTCGTAGCCGCAGTCTTCTGGGTCGGCTACTTCAACAGCGCCCTGAATCCTCTCATCTACGCTTACTTCAACCGCGAGTTCCGCGCTGCTTTCCGGAAGACCCTGGAGAGCTGCTGCGAAGCCCTGGGTCCCGTGCGGGACATGAGGAAAATTCACAGGAAGCAAGACCTGGTGCACAGCAACGCGTCGTCCGAGCTGCACGTGAATAATCAGCTGAGAGCCAGTGAGATGACGAACGTACATATCGAAGCATGTATTTAGAGGGATAAGCTGAATATTTATTAAAAAAAAAAAAAAAAGAAAAATAAAACTCACTAATATTCCTTCGTGTACTGTCGTAGTGACACGATGAAATTCCTGATAAAAAAAAAAAGAGTGTACAAAAAAATGAATTCGCTCTGTCGTACTGTACCGTAAGCATATATAGACATGTAATTCCGATACGGACACAGACTCATCTGCAGAAGGGAGGTGTATATGGAAAGGCAAAAAAGTGAGGGCAAAAAAGGGATTGAGTAAAAAATATTGAAGTAACAACAAAAAAAAAAGTATTCACCATATATAACGCGCGTAGAGATGCTCAAGATGTTCGTTTTAACGTGGGTCGAAGGGGGGTGGAAAAAAAAGATGTAACATTGGCAGGGATGCTCCGACAATGGCAGCCCTGTGAGTGTTGGCTCAAGGCGTCAGGTGCCAAGTTTTCCCTTTCGACTCTCGACCCCAGAACCAGATGCGCTGGAGAAATCGAGAGCTTCAGGCAATTATCCAGATGATAGGAAAAGGCAATAACACCGACAAGTATTGAATGTCCTATCGATCGCACCTACGAGGAGAAGCCAGTTACGGCTGCAGTCCAATAAAATCCGAGTACGCAAAATTTAGGCTCGCGCAAGGATTGCGAGACTTGCCAAATACCGTAGCAATAATTAAGCCCGTGGACAGTAAAAGTTTTCTTTACGACGCACACCCGCGGATATTCTCGGAAGGACGTTACAGGAGCCTTGCTCGCCGTGGATCCTTATTCCAAGTATGACCTACCGGACTGAGGCTCGTCCGATGCGCTCGATGTGTAACCGCGTGGCAAGTTTTATTGAGTCCGTAAATAAAGTTTCCGTCTAGGCTAGATTGATGGGATAGTAAGGTTTTACCGACGTTTGAAAACGGGTACAGTAACGTTGTGGGGCCCCTGGTCGTCGCTTTGCCATGGAAATGTCGTTCACGCCCGAAGACCGTTGCATGCTCGAAATGTCGTACCAAGGTGGGAGGGAAAAAAAAAAAAAAAAAAAATTCAAACCGTGATAAAAATATATTTAACAACAAAAAAATTAACACACAAAATTTTTCCCTGATAGGAAAAAAAAAAAAAAAAAAAAATTTCAAACCGTGATAAAAATATATTTAACAACAAAAAAATTAACACACAAAATTTTTCCCTGATAATAGTCACGATAAATGTTCTCAGGGGTGGGGTTCCTTGGGTGGTAGTGATCAAAGACGTCACCCGGTAAACAGAAAGTAACGATTACGCAATAATAAAGTGTTCTACTTAACTATATAAAATCCCTTATATATGTGACTGTTAAACACGCCCCCCCCCCTGGATACGAAATTTTAACATTACCGAACATGTTTAAATATCACTAAGTGTTCGCTGGTCGGAAAATTGCGTAAGCCATCGACTGACTTAAAGTGGACGTCTCAAGAGGGGTGGAGGGGAGGATGGCCGGGTGAAATGTACAGAGGATGATTTTTTATTTCGGGTAGCTTATCGTTTCACGCTGAAAAAGAAATGTATTAAAAAAACACTCCCGTTCACCGTAGTCCAAGCTATTCCCTATATTACCGACTGAGCGCTATCCCTTGTCCTTACCCACTTACAACCACCACCACCACCCCCCCCCCCCCCCCCCCCCCCCCACCAAAAAA